TGTAGAGCCAGAGTGACTCCATTTTGGAGCTGTCTCCTTTGTTCTCTCAGAATGACTCCATTTTGGAGCTGTCTCCTTTGTTCTCTCAAATTTGTGCTTATCCACTCAAAATTCCTAAGTTTATTACCCAGCCATCTGTGTACTCAGAAAAGACATTCCGGACACACTATCTATAAGATAAGCAGTTAATGGCTAACTGCCCACAAAAGATAGATGTGACCATTAGTCAGTGGATCTGCTAACCATCAGCTTATGACAGTCAACCACTAACCTTTGCCCCCTTCTCCCTTGCAAAAATCTATACGTAACCCCCTTAACCCCCCCTAAGCCTAACCAATCAAAACCCTACACTTCATATGTATTTAATATTAACCAATCACCTGGCTACTAACAACCAAAGCTTGTTGTATACTCAATAAAAACCCTGCTAGTTTCGAGGCTTGGGGCTCTCAATCTCGATCCGCTGCGTCAGTGACAATTGAGAGTCCCTGCTTAAGCTTAAATAAACGACCCTCGTGTGCTTACATCAGAAACGGTCTCCTGGTGGTCTTTGAGACATCGCGATCTAGACACAACATTTGGGGGCTCGTCCGGGATCCCAAGACCTTCAGGACTCCCGTACCGGAGGGTCAACGCCGGCTGGTGAGTGTTTTTTTTGTGCTTGTAAAGTCTGGGCCTATTTTCTAAAAAGGTCGACAGACGGTCTAGGCGGACGCGCTGCAAGGGCCGCCGACCCGAGATCCTGAAAGACGTTCCAGATTCCACTGGTGGGGACGGAGTGCCCCAAGAGTACAGGTCAGTGAGACTCCTAGAGGGACGGTGCGGGTCGCTCCCGCGGCACGGCAGGAGGCCGTCGTCCCATTTACATTGCCTCCGATCCCGCAGAGGACGGTTTTGTCTCACCTTGTGCTTCTCTGTTGCGTTTGTGTGTCTGTTTGTGCTGACTTAGACCGAGACGATAAGACAGACTGTGACTACCCCTCTTTCCCTTGTAACAGACCATTTCAAAAAAGTTAGAGAGAGCGCTCATAACTTAAGTTTAAAAATTAAGAAGACTAAGTTCATCACCCTCTGTGGCTCAGAGTGACCCTCCCTCGGGGTAGGATGGCCCCCCGAAAAAACTTTTGATTTGCAGATAATTCACAAAGTTCGTAAAGCCATCCTCCCCCCCGATCAGATACCCTACATCGCCGTTTGGAAATTTCTGGTTTCTAACCCGCCCCCATGGGTTAAGCTCTTTTTGCCTTCACAACAACAACAACCGGAGTTAATCCTGACGGCCAAAAAAAAGGCTCCTAAAAAGCGCGCGGATAAAAAACAAACCAAAACCAAGCCAACCGCGCCACTTTACCCTGTCCTCCAGGGAGGGACCGA